AAAAAGTCTGTGGCATCCAACCTGTCATTCTTCACATTTAACATAAAAAACAGCAATAAAAGGTAGGCTTATTGACGTTTTTTGAAACTCTAATTGATCGATTTCATGAAACATTCGTTTGTATGTTTGTATTTGTCTGATTTTTTCAACATGCATTCAAATATTTATTCGTTTATTTCGTGCTGCAAATATTAAAGAGGAAAATATAATTGATTCACATGCTGCTTGAACTGAGATGAATATAGTTATCTCACTACAAATTTAGAAGCGTAAAAACACATTTATTGTTTGTAGTATTTTATTATAAAGTTGACAGAAGGCTGACACTTTGTGTTTTAATATAAGTAACAAAGCACAAAGCTTATTGCGATTATTGGGTGGCTTGCATGCTACAAATGATGGACTTGAAAACGTTAAATATTATTTCCAAGCATTTATACCGTAAATAAACAGCTTGTGAATACACGTAACGTTAATCACTTCAGAAAAATCAACAATAAGTTAACCGAGTTGGAGCCAATAACGTTTGGGGGGGCCCGTACAAATTTTTTTGCATATGGGCCCGGGGCTGACTTGCTACGCCACTGGTATAAACATTATAATAAAAAAAAATTATATTATAAAAATATTACACTTTTTTTTATGTTTTTGAAAGTCTCTTACGCTCACCCAGTCTGCATTTATTTAATCAAAAATACTGTACAAACAGCAATATTGTGAAATATTATTACAGTTTAAAATAACTGTTTTCTATGTTAATAGATTTTAAAATGTAATTTATTTCTGTGATGGCAAAACTGGATATTCAGCAGTCTTCACTCCAGTTTTCAGTTTCACACAATCCTTCAGAAATCATTCTAATTTACTGATTTGGTGCTCAAGAAACACCAAATCTTCTTGTGTTTCAAATGTTTCTTGTGCTCAAGAAACATATTATCACTGAAGAAATGTAATATTTTTGTGGAAACGATGGATTTTTTTATTCAGGTTTCAGCATTTGTTACAAAAACTATTCTATTTTAAATAATGTATTTACCATCATGTTCAATTCAATTTAATTCAACTTCATACATCTTTGCTGAATTAATTTACTGAATAAAAAAAAAAACATCTTTGAACGGTAGTGTATTATCATATTATATTTCCAAAGGACTAAATTAAGCATTATTTTAAATGATAAAAATAATAATAATAATAATAATTCTTAGTGGTTACCAACCTGACAAGAGTTGGTTGTGGTCCAGTATGCATCTAAGTGAGCCGACACTAGTGCCATGGTACGCAATATGCCACTTCTTGAAGGCATTGGAGACTTCACAGTGGGTCTTGATTCTGTTAAAATACAGACAAGAACTCTTTTTAAGTAATTAATACTGCTAATACTAAATAATCTGCACATTTTCAGAGCTTAATTACTGAGTTAAATTAATAATAACTGACCGGAGTGCAAAGCGGCACCAGCCAAATGGCAGAGCGTAGTCTCTGGGAGGCTCCCCTCGCTTGTAATAGGCCTCATCACCCCTTAGTTTGTGACAGGACTCACAGTAACACAGGTTGTACTTAGCATCCTCATTAAAATAACCATCTGAAAAAGAGGACAGAGTGGGAGATGAAGAAAGCAAAATGTTCAGTCAATATACCGCCATAAACAAAGTTCAGCAAAAATGGCTACTAATAAGTCCACATTGAATCTGTGGTCACAAAGGATTATTATTGTGTGTGTGAGGTGTAATGCAGTTGTACCTGGCAGTGCGAGCAGTTCTTTGAATCTGGAACATAGCGCCTGGTACTCGCACGTCTTATTGGGGTTGACCTCTGGTGGAGGTGTCCAGCAGACACTCTCCTTTATACCTGTCACAAACAGACAGACAGCACACGTGTTTAAAGCAGAGGCACACTACAGCCAATGTAAGACCTGGGGTCAAAATCTCACGCACCATCCACCATATCAGCCTTCTCCATGTCCCCTTGACAACGCATGTCTCCTCTCTCCCCGCCAACCACAGACACATGATTTGTCACTATAGTGACCTAAAAATACAACACCAACAAGAGACAATCATTTGTTGTGCATCCAAACAAAAGAAGTTATTAATTTATTTATTAAAAAAAATTTTATTTACTTGTTTGAAGTTCATTTATTTCAGTAATTCAACTCAAATTGTGAAACTCGTGTATTAAATAAATTCAATGCACACA